ATGGATCATCAGAAGTTGAGATGGTAAGAAAATATTTAAAATCTTTCGCCACTGGCACCCGCTCATTGCTTGAAAAAAAATGCAAAAAATAGTTTGAAGCAATAAATCTTTTATAACGAAGATTTTTTGTCCCCTGAGAAAATTTTCGATGATTATGATGATAAATGATCAGAAATCCTTGACTGAGAAACTTTTCTTGGTACGATAATTAAATATGGATAAGCAAAGTAATGTCAAAATAAAATTATTAATTTATTTGAAATCTATCCATTCCACCATTCATTTTTCTATTTTGTTGGCTTTATCAACATCAATAATCTATGAACTAGCAATATGATCGGAAATTGTGTGTTTTCGTCTTTGAGCAATGAAAATATTCTGCGCATTCGTCAAATTCTTTCGCCACCGAAATAAAATCAACCAAGAATGAATTCATCGAATGAACGTATGACGTAATTCACTGAGCGAATTTCTTGAACTATACAACCGTCAACATTACCATTTCATCCATCTGAGCACTGTTTTTTTTTCAGATTGTTGCTCTTCTCATTCGACTGAAACAGGTTCATTATAAAGACGCTATCGCAACTCAATGCTTCATTATTCGATCTCAACGTGATCCATGAAAACATCACCGGTATATTAATAGTTGATGTGCGTTCCTACTGATGGATATTCCATGAACAAATATTCGTACAGTTCCTCAACGGTAGCACCAGTCAACAACATCGCAGCTAACTATGCTCAATAGGAACCAAATCAGTTTGATATGCAACTGGTCTATCGATGTAAACTGAATTTTTTGTTTCACTTCATCACTTAACCAATACCGGTACGACTAGCATTTATTTTGGCAATCCCAATCAGTCATCACAGTTATGGTAGCATCGTCTTTATAATCGCTTCTACCGCTTAGATAACCGCTATGGCTTATGCTTCTTGTTCATTTTTTATTTCGATCGGATCTTTTCAGTAGGAAAAGAGTCTGGCTATTCGCCTAACTTACAGTCGCCGCGAAACGAGAACTGAATTATTATTCATCAAAGAATTAACGTCGACTCAAAGAGAAATAAATAATAACCTTACAATATTCGTCTTGTCCTTTCGACTGCTTTCTGCATCAGAGGTATGGTATGACTTTGTTGTTATTATTCCTCTTCCACTACACGTATCCATTTGTACTGCCTATGTGCAGTACAAATGAATGTGTGCATTGGAAGATGAATAATAACAACATGATCATTAACTATCTCAATGCCAGACTACCATTTCCTGACGCAACTCTCCTCATTATTTCTACCTTGTAACTAACCCTAAGAGCTTTTGTTGATCCGTCGTGGCTGAGTTAAGTGATTAAGAGTGACACTCAAATAAAATGATGCTCAAAGGTATTCCAGATAATGAAACTTCTAGTTATCGTGGTTATTGTGTTGTTGATCTTTACTGCTTTCACACAATCCCATCCCTCATTCTCATTCGAATCTGGTGGTTATGGAGGTACGTTTGCTTGCAAAATAACTATAATAAAAGCTTACAATAAATATTTCATTAAAGTATCACAATATACTGCTTACCATTATAAACGCTAATTCAACATATTTAATATTGAACGTGAAGTTTATTCCAGGTTATGGTAGATTCTATCCAGGATACGGTGGATGGCACGGCGGTTTCTCGAATTTCCGGAGACCATTCGGGAATTTCTTCGGCAAATAAACAATACGAATACGGCATAATAAAAAAAGTTCATAAATGTTTACATATACCATCCAAACATTACCCTATATAATCATAATTGAATAATTCACGTCACCTACATTATTATCATTATCATTATCATCCTTATACACCATCATTATTGTGAACTAATTAATTACATATATTATAATTGTGTTATATCATTAGAAGACGATGTCTTAATGGATTTAACACTAAATGTTTAGTAATGTACTATGCTGATGTATAATATTTATCTGTAGTGGATGAACGTCTTGTGCAGTTATTTAGTCATGCATTTTTTACAGTAAGAAAATATGGTTATTCATTTACTTATCTATTCATTTGCTGTTTATTCCTTTTAGAGTCTACAGTACTCATCAATTTTTTGAGGCGTGCGGTATGAAAGAATTCTTTGATAAAATGTTCACAATACACTGAAGTTGAGATCAGCTGTCGAAATATCTATCTCATGTTCCTGCTGTTACCACTCCTAAATCAGATGATAGCATTCTAAATACTGATGAAAGTTCGTTAATATCTTCACATTATTCTGATCGATACGAATGTAAACATACAAAAGTATTTCTACACAA